ATAGTTTTATTTTTGGTTAAAGCAAATCTGGATTATGTAAGTAATTGCATGTTCATTATTGAAAGTTTGAAAAATGTAGAAATACATAGAAAAAAGGAGATTAATATACTCCTAGTTGCTATTTTTGAGTGATTGTAGTTTTTTTATGTGTCTGTATATGCCATAACATATATACTTAATCAAAACTGAAATATTCTTTTACAATGGGATGTTTAGTAGCTATAAAAGGTTTTATTTTAAGAATGTGCCATCACTGATTTAACCAACTGCTAGAAAGTTTTTGCAGATTTAGATTCAACTCTATTGCATCCCCATTTCCCAATGCTGGACCATCTCCAATACTGAGTATTAATAATAACAAAAGTACAACTATTTACTATTTTGACAGATTAGCTTAAATTTTCACACAAGTAAAAATAATGGACTTATTCTCTATTATTCTAGAGGATAATATCCACAAAAGACAGGACTGCCTACATTTATTTGGTCATTACTTATATTCTCACAAACATTACTATTGTGAACACATCGTCATTATGAGTACGTGAGTTAATGAATACATAGGAATGAATCCTGAGGTGCTCAACAGGTCAGGAGTGGTTCTGGCCTTTGGGTATGTCCTACACCGTTTAGGCAGCAGCGCATCCTTAGGTGGGTGAGAACAAACATGAAGTTAGATATACGCAAAAAACAAGCAGTAAGGTTTGAGAAAGTAATCGTAAACTATAGTAATTTCATCTTTCTTCTCTTTGTTTTCTCCATGAACAACAGCTATGATGAAGGGTAGATCAATTCATCTTTGTATTGGTGTGTATTTTAAATCATAAAATTACCTAGATGAGTAAATATTTTTAACTTTATTTACAGGTAGATAAATGTAAGTTTTTACATTTAGTAAGAGGTTCTTCCTGTGCACAGTTCTGATACATGTGGATTTCAGTTACCAGGGATTGGTTAAATAAAACGAGTGCCCTGAAAACATGGTTCGAATTTCAGATACTGGGGCACATTAACTGAGTGATTGCATAAAGCACAGACTTCATCACTAACCCCTCACTCCATGAAAATCACCGCCCGGATAACGGATGTGCATCGTAATCAGTGGCCAATCACATCACATCTTTCAGATTCTGATGGTGACGAGCAACTGTACGTCAGTTATTCGGTTCACAGACAGGCAGCTAAGCTTGCAGTTCCACGATCCCCTTGTCCTGATGATGAACTCGTGTGACATTTTACAACAATAGGTAACAGGCAGAGTAAATTGGTAACAAAGTTGAAAAGTGTAGCAAAGAGATGAAAATTGATAATGCTAGAAGGGAAATCTGAATCAAACATAGGTGGAAGTTACAGGAGAGAAGCTGTCTGGAAATGATGTCTCTGCACCATTCGAGAGAGTCTAGACATGCAGCCAGGGGAACTTCATGAAAATGAACTTCGCGGCATGTACGAGAATGGTGGTTGTGATAAAAAGGATGAACATGTCCCAGAGGAAGTGATGGCGGAGGGCGGGTGGGGGGAACCAAAAACAATAACAAAAAATAACTTCACATTCAAGAAACTTTCAAATAAATTTCAGGACATTGAAAGCTTAAAGGACAAAGCAGCAGCTGATCCAAATTAGGAGTATGAAAGTTTGCCGAGGCATAGAAGAGATGCTCTTTCCATACCTTACGTTATAAGGTGAGAAGGTGGCAACACTGTTCAGGCTACTCTGGATAAGTTTTCTACAAAGAAAACACTTAAATTTCAATGTGTTTGATGTTTTAAATTGCAGTGTGCTAAATATTAGGTAACAATTTTTTCCATTTCTCTATACATTTATAAGCAACAGTAAGAGAGATTTTAAAGTTTTGACAAAAATTTTTAAAGGTCATTCACAACCATAGGTTTCCCCACTGATTATTAAGATCGCCTGGTGTGACTTCAGCTTGCGTGGTCGTTTAGATGATGCCGTGCTACTGCGCAAAGCCAGGATTGCCTGTATTCATTAGTGGGTGGATACACCTAATTTACTGTAAACTCACACAATAACATTCAAATTTTCATTACTACCCTTTTAGAAATGTACTTAAAATATATGATGAAGTTATTGGCTCTTTTTTTTATGGTATGAAGTGTTCAAATCCTTAAGAGTTATCAAAAGAAGGGCCCACGAAGTATTAATTTTTCATGTATTCTTCTTATAATAGTTATAAAATAAAGGTCTTTCCAAACAGCTAATTAGGAAGAAGGAATTTTAAATTTGTGTTAACAAATACAAAGAGATCTTACAGAAAATAGAACAAATCTAAGAGCAATAGGGTCCATATTAATTAAAAATTAGTCCTGTTCCCTCAGAAACTTTGAACAGAAAACAGAATATAAAAACATTCAACTTCAACTCTGCCAGGTATACGTAATGGGAGAACTCCAGGCCATAAGGGTTGCATTTCCTGGTCACTGACTGACTACAGAGCCAGAAGTTCTTTTAACATTATTTTCTCACCAAAGCAATAATGTGTGAGGGTGTCTGATGGTTGAGGTCTCATTTATCCTGAGGCTTTTCAATTGATTATCATCTAGGCCCATTACACAGTAGAAGCCATTCAACATCTGTGCACTTCCTGGCCACTTCAGCTGTGCGAGTGAATTGTTAGAGTATTGGAGAGACTTTCTGTGTGGAAATGTCCTTTGGGTAATGTACAGGGATAGAGGGGGATATGATAACCCAAGCTGTGATCAGTCGGCTACCACTCTGTCTATGTTTAAAGTAAGCGAGAGTCTCAAAAACTCATCTATTTTAAACTCAGAAGACTTCTTGCTGTGATTTTCTTTAATACTAAAACTGCAAATGCAGCACAAATGAAAAGGCTAAAAGCTTCAAAAATTAAATCACCCTTAAGGAGTTCCTTACCAATATGGTTTTGGTCTTGTCATGCAGAAAATTTCAGCAGGTTGCTATTGTATCTAGAAGCTACTTTTATATAGTAATCAAGTCCAGCTAAACTTGATATTTCAAGAAAACTTGTTACAGAGCTGGAGCCTATATGCAGGGAAATGTTTTATAGCTTCAAACTATCTTCTGGTTATCAGCAGCTCTAATTTTACGTATTTTTTCTATTGAGGTAAAATTTATATGACACAAAATTAACCGTTTTAAAGTGTACAATTCCATAGCATTTTGTACATTCACAATGTTGTTCAACTACTACCTCTGATCTAGTTCCAAAACATTTTCATCACCCCAAAATAAAACCCCTTATCCATAAGCAGTCACTTCTCATAGCCCCTTCCCCCAGCCCCTAGCAACCACCAGTGTGCTGTCTGTTATCCGTGGATTTACCTATTCTGGATAGTTCATATAAACAGAATCATACAATATATGGTCTTTTGTAACTGGCTTCTTTCGTTTAGCTTCATGTTTTCAAGGTTCACCTGTGTTATAGCACGTACCGCATTCCTTCTTATGGCTGAACAATACTCCATTGTGTGGATATACTACGATTTGTCTACCCATTCATTGGTCGATGGACATTTGGGTGGTTTCTACCTTTTGGCTATGTAAATGATACTTCTGTGAACATGGTGTACAAATATCTCTTTGAGTCCCCTGTTTTCAACTCTCTTGGGTACATACTTAGGAGTGGAATTTCTGGATCATTGGTAATTCTGTGTTTAAATTTCTGAGGAACCACAAATTGTTTTTCACTTAACAGCTTTTATTTGCACCGTGTATAAGGAGGGAACGTTTATTCCCACTCCTGATGCTTCCTCTGCCTTGATCTCTGCCCTTTTCTTAGTCTATTCCGAGAAAGACAATATCTTATTGCTAAAATCTTTCTCCTCCTCCTCCTCGGGTGTGAGTCTACCTGCAGAAAACATGTTTTCCTCTCCTTTCCTCCGTGGCAAAGACATAGGGCAGTGCTCCCTGGGGAGGGGTGGGGGTGGTGGGAGGGAGGCCTGTTCTGGTCTCTGCTGATGTGATTAGATGAATAAGTGTTGCTAATTTTGGGGTTGTGTTTGGAGACCAGTTAGGTTTTGTTCTTCAGACTGACCTCTAGCAAAACAAATGCTGATATTTTGTCTTTCCATTTGATCTTTGTTTTTTTTTTCCAAATTGTCTGGAACCTGCATAGAGTTTGATGTGCTATTTACTGGGCGTTCTTTTGAAGAATACAAAACTTAGGGTGCAAGAGGTTATGATGCCAGAAGAATTTAACCTTCATAGACATGGCCTGGAATTGTGGATTCAAAATCTAACTGCCACTTACTTTTAGCACTGTTGACTCGGAGAATTTACCTACTATTTTAGCTTCAATTTCCTTATCAACGAAAATGGGGAAATCCTATTTGCTTTTTCTTCTTATGTACCAAAGGTGCCGTGGGACTCACCAAAGTATCAAGTGATAACATGGGGTCCCCTCAAAAGAGTAAAATTTTATTTAATCTACATTTTTGTTTCAGGTATTTTAGCAGTTTTTTTTTTTTTACAGTATAGACTAATGATATAAATTTGAATTTAAAAAACCTGACCCCAGAAGTCCCAGCAGGATGACTGTTCACAGAAATATGGCACAGATAGAGAAGTGGGTAAGTCTCCAACCTTCAAGTAGAAAACAGGTCACTCTGCATCTTAAGCATTCATCAGCCCACATGTGATGATGCGACCCGAGTGCCTGGCCACTTCTCCATCAAGGTCATTTCAAGCTCTGAAATTATAAATGTGACTGTTATTTTGAGCAAAAACATCTTGGGACAACTCTGTAAAGGAAGTTTTGCGACTTCATATAGCATCATATCTGGATTACCAGAGTACACCAGAGTAAGAAATGCTCTCATCTGTTCTAATATTCTCATTTTAGGTAACACATCATCTTGCCAAGCTTTTTGACAGCATCACAGATCTGCAGTTTGGAGACAATCAGGATGTTTCTGCACACACAGCAGTTGGAATGTACAGCAAAGAAAAGGAGTATGTCCCATTCCAAGCCGAGTGTGAATGCATAGGCCATGTAAGACTTGATTATGAGCTTTTCTATGCTAGGGGAGTATTTTCAGCATGCTCTTTAAAGGTTGAATTGAACAAGAAAAATAACAGCTCACATCACATCAGGCTCTTGTTAGTTTTGTGCTTAGAGAGTCCTGTTTACCTACAGGCAGTGTGACAGAGGGCCACTCTGCCATGCGTCCCAGTTTTTGCTTATTTGGCTTCCTCACCCAGCAGGATCTCAGAGATGCTAGGAGCTAAACTAGACATAAGGGTCTGTCACAGGTTGAATGTGTGGCCCCAGAATAAGAGCAAATGCAACCCAGTGGCTGAGTCACCTACAAAGTGTGTTCTGTTTTCAATACTGCTCAGAGGATACAGAGAACGGTTGCAGTGAAGCAGCACCTTGCAATAAAGCTTATTTTAAAGAGGCTTCATGGTTTAGTATTCCATTGCGAATGTTGGAAGTGGCTGCTCATAAATAAAATTGAGTCTACCGAGCTGGTGTCACGTACCCTTAATTATCATGTGCACAGAGAGTTAAGTTAGTCTGTTCTCTTCTCTCATAGCCAAATACCTCAAAAATATTCTTAACAGTTATCCACAAGAATGGCTCATTATGATTTGAGAGCGGTTTGGATGTGTTCAGATGATTTAGGGCAAGGGTGGGGAACTTGCGGCCTTAAGGCCACATTTGGCCTCTAGATCTTTCAGTGCAGTGTTTTGACTGAATCCAAATTTTACAGAAGGTCACACTTAAGGATCCAGAAGGCCACATGTGGCCTTAAGGCAGCAGGTTCCCCACCCATGATGGGGGAATTGCATCTTTTTATGATGATATTTGCATAGCTTGGGTTAATGCACAGAGTGACTGAGGGAATAGCCTATCAGAGAACCGTTTGTGTTGGGACAGGGTTCCTTAAAGTGTCCTTTGCAGAAATATGATTGCAACCCTACTTTACAAGGGTTTTCTTTACGCTTTTCTGTTGCTTTTTAATATTGTACCAGAAAAGCCCTGCCAAATGAAGGAGAAGCAGATGGTGGAATACTTTGATTAAAATATATTTTTTTGATCTCTTGGGCTTTTTAGGATATTATTATAACGATTAGAAAAAGTCGCCATAAACTATCTTGAAAAAAGTGTGCTGCTGTCTGCTCCCTCCTAGCAGACTGCTCGCTGACTGGCATGGTGCCTGGAGGGGGTGGTCCAACTGATGGATGCGGTTGTCACTAGCCAGAACCCTTGATAGTGAAAGTTTTTATTGTGCTCTAATTTATTCAGTATAAGCAACTTATGCTAGAGACTTGCGAACATATACACATCACCCTTTAATTGCCTTTGTTTTATAAAAAGAAGCTTTTAAAGTCTTTCCCTTTTTCTGCACTCTGATAATTAGTTCCTCTCAATTTAGTCTAGTTGTATTTTATTCAGCAAGTATTCATTGAATGCCTACTATGCGTCAGACACTAAGTTAGGCTTTTGGGGACTCAAAAATGAGCAAGACATGGCCCTTGTCTTTGAGGGGCTCTTAGGCTCATTGAGAAAATGAATATATACATACTTAGTGATAATGGGAGGTAGTAATGTTATTACAGAAGGTTGCTTGTGAAATACCAAAAAGGGAAGGATCCAGTGAGCACCTCATCAGAGCTTTGTTCTCAAATCATACTGAGTTAGGTTGCTGTTGTTGGCATAGTTATCTGAACATGAGCTGATGTCTTGACATACACATGTATTTGGTCTTCCCAAACAGACCAGAAAGTTGTTGAAGACAGGTGGCCATAGTGAGGATATGGATCCCAGAGTATGTGGGAGATGATTAAACAATGACTGATTTGCCAAGAGAACTTGTTTGGTGACATTAAGAGAGAGCTCTCAGTGATTAAGGTAGAGATACAGGATCCCATTGATTAAATCAGAACAACCTGATCTCATCAGATTAACCTGAATTCATGCATGTTGACAAAGCACAGCTATGAAGCCAGAGGGGAGGGCTCTTAATAAGAGATGTTGGGGCCATTGTCAGGCATGTGCTTCCTTTTCTCTCTCAAGAGAGATGGTTGTCAGCTAATTTACCCCTCCTTCCCAATTCTAAAGAAAAGAGATTCTAGGAATGCTGCTGCCATCTTCACAAGGGTAGGCAAAGAAATAAGTTGTAGCATCTTCAGCCTCCCATGTGGGCCTTGGAATTTATGTATTATGCTATTTATTCTAGTCATTTTAATTGCTATGGTCAACTATATACAAATAGTATATGTATCCTTTTAGTTATAGGATATCATCCCATGGAAAAAGATACATGGATTCATATAACAAAATATTAATACATTGACTGGGATGGAAAACTGACTGAGATAGATTTGTGGGAACAAAATAAACTTGAAAGTTTTAAAAAAGATTAATTTTCACAAGTCAGCAGTTGTCCTCTCTCTTATACTCTCCTGCTGTCTAATTCTTGACAAGTGTGAAGATTAGAACCAGTAGGGAATATAATTAAGATATTTGCTGAAAACACTTTGTCTTAAGGCTAAGAACTATGAAGATTTTAGAGAAGTATTTTCAGTAGATTTAAAATTTACCAGAAGATATATTTTTTTTTTTTAAAAATCACTATTTCATTATCCCCGAAGCTCTAGAGTATGATTGATACCTCTATAGGTGGCTGTGACATTTGGTTTGTCAAAACACGGTGTGTTTATCAGAGAGGAATCTTGGTCTAGAATCTGCTTGTCTTCAAAGCTGAGAGATGAATAATAGAGAACGCCTTTTCTGCTTAGGCTGTGGAAAGTTATTGGCCAAACTGGTAGGTAAAAGAAGATGAGCAGTATCCCTGTGAGAAAGACTTCATGGATCAGTTGTTCAACTTCCACCTTGAGTTATCCCTCTTGTAGTTTTCTACCTGGATTTAAAATAAATCCGCCTGAGGCTTTATTCTCCACATGGCCTTAGAGCCAGTGTGAGGGTGGAATTATCCTTTTTCCATAGTTAAGCCTGTGTTATAACATTTCACTTGCTTTCAAGGTGGAAACATGGCTTCTGCAACTCGAACAGACCATGCAAGAAACAGTCCGTCATTCTATCACAGAAGCTATAATGGCCTATGAGGAAAAACCTAGGGAACTGTGGATTTTTGATTTCCCGGCTCAAGTGGCACTAACCAGCTCACAAATATGGTGGACTACGGACGTAGGAATAGCCTTCAGTAGACTGGAGGAAGGCTATGAAACGGCCCTAAAGGATTTCCATAAAAAACAGGTATTTTATAGATTTGTGATTTCGAGACTTGAAGGAACTGGAGGAGGTAAGCTTCATTCATTCATTCATTCATTCATCCATCATGTATGGAGTGTCTTTTGTGTGCAAGTCACTGTGCCAGGAAGATTTTAGGAAATCAGTTGTTAAATTTTTCATTTTCTAACTTTGTGTTATGCTTCTAATTTCTACATGGGTTTGGAAAAAAAAAAAAGTCATGTCCATTATCTTCCAAGGCTCTCTTGTAGCACCCGTACCTAGATACTGCACCTATTTTTTTTTCCTTTGTGTAAGACTCTCCAAGTAGGCATGTCATGTATTTATCGGAAAATATGTATATGATTTTAAAAGGTGGAGGGCTGCTCAACAAAGACAAGTATTTTCATGGGTTTTGGTGTTTTGTTAAATACAAATCACAGATGAGAAACTTTGGAATATAGTCTATTTTGAATTCTATTTTATTGATCCCAGGTATACTATGAGTCTTCCGCAAGCTTCCCATCTTAAGATGTGCTCTTAGCTGTATAATAATTCAGAGATAAGGCCTTTTTCTCAGCTTATAGATTCAGAGGATATTAGGCTTGGAAAGGAGTGTAAGTATTAGTTTATCTACTCTTGTTTTTAGTAGATAAAATCTGAATGCGGAGATATTAAGTGATTTTCCCAACATCGTACAGTTCATAAGAGAAACTGGCATGGCCGGCACCCTCTTTCTGGTTCTGAATCAGAATGCTTCTCACTATTCCCCATTTCTCCTCTTCTCCCGTGGCAATAATTTTACTTCAGTGCCTTAAGAATCAGATGCATTCAGAGAGTGAACAATCCTTGTATTGTTAACACACACACATTCAGGAATTTCAAGTGTGGATTATTTCCTGTAATTTTGTGATTAATTTCTTGTAATCTTGGATAGGGACCACCCAACTTATTTACGTTACTAAAGAAGTTTTTGTGCTACTTACTCTCGGGGAAAAATATATTCTTCTTGATTTTTACATTCTTAGGAAGATGGGGTATTGGTTTCTATTTAGTAGGCTTGAAGTAACAGGATTAGATTTAAAGAAGTGGCTGATTTCTTTGTGGGGTGCGCTCTCTGCAATTCTAGTGGCTGCCTCTTGGACGCCAAAGCTGAGCAGTTACATTTTCTCTGACTGTTAACAGATCTTACCCTTTGTCATCAGAGACCTTACAATCATTCATCATGACTTCCACTCTCCAATTTATATGCCACTGTTTAACCTTATTCTTTCAAATCTGCCATTAATTGTGGTGATGGTGATATTACTACTACTATTATTTTAAATCTTATTTAGATTTACCAACGTATTTAGCAATGGCTTTGTTGATTACTTATTTTTCACCTTGTTTTTTATTTCTGAATTCATCCCCCTTCCTTCTGTAGTGTATCTTTTAGTAGTTTGTGCAGTGACGGATTGTAATAGGAAATTTAGGGGTCCCTTATTTTTATATTGACTTTGTTTTTCATAATTTAGCTAGGTAGGGAATTCCAAGTTGAGAGTTGTTTTCTTTCAGAACTTAAAAAAATATTTTTCCTTTTATCTTGTGGCTTTTATTGTTGTGAAATCTTAAATCAGTCAAATTGTTTTTCTATTATAAGAAATCTGTCTTGTTTTTTGGCTGCTTTTAAGATTTCCTTCTGTAGTTCTGATAAAACTTTTTTTTTCCTCTTAGCAAATGATTAAGAATAAAGAGGAACACAGAACAAGATTGTGTGGGTTCAAATCTCGGCCTGTCCCATTTCTGCGTTAGCTGTGTGGCCATGGGCAAACTATTGGATTGCTCTGTGCCTTAGTTTCACCATCTGCATCATAGGATCATTAGAAGGATTAGTAAATTCATATATGGGAAACATTTAAAAGTGCTGTCAAAATTCAAGTACTATGTTAGCCATCGCTGCTGCTGTTAATGCTACGATGATAATGGCAATAATGACGATGGTATCTAATGTGACACATAATTAATTTAATGAATTTATGAATTCAATATCGAAAATTTATCATAAATTTTTTAAAACATACAGAAAAGTTGAAATAATTATATAGTGATGTGTATGCCTACTACCTAGATTCTACAATTAATATCTTGTTTTATGTTCTTATCATATCTGTCCTTTATCCAACACTCTATCCACCCATCAATTTATCTTATATCTGTGGTTCATCTCAAAGTAAGTTGTAGATACTGGGATACTAGTAATCTTTATACTTAAACACTTTAATATTTTTATTTAAAAAATTTTAATTTTAATTGAAAAGTAAAAAATATATATATATGGTATACAACATGATGTTTTGATATATGTATACATTGCAGAATGGCTAAATCAAACTATTTGATATATGCATTACCTCACATATCTTTTTTTGTGGTAAGAATGTTTAAAATCTGTTTTCTTCACAATTTTCAAAAATAATAACTGTAGTCACCATGATGTATGATAGATCTCTTGAACTTATTCTCCTAATTGAAATTTTTGTGTCCTTTGGCTAACATCTCCCTAAAACTCCTACCCCCTGGTAACTACCATTTTACTGTACATATGAGTTCAACTTATTTTATAGTCTACATATAACTGAGATCATGCAGTATTTGTCTTTCTGTGTCTGTCTTATTTCACTTAGCATAATGTCCTCTAGGTTCATCTGTATCGTGGCAAATGACAGAATTTTCTTCCTTTTAAAGACTGAATTATATTCCACTGTATACATGTACCACATTCTTTATCCATTCAACCACTGATGGATACTTAGGTTGATTCTGCAATGTGCTGTTATGAATAATGTTTCGGTGAACATGGGAATGCAGATACCTCTTTGACACACTGGTTTCAATTCTTTTGTATATGTCTGCAATCATGAGATTGCTGGATCATGTGGTAGTTCTATTTTTAAATTTTTCAAAAATCTTCATGCTATTTTTCATAATGGCTATAATAACTTACATTCCCATCAACAGTGTGCAAGGATTTCCTTCTTAAACACTTCAGTTTACATACTCATTTCATCAGTTTAATTTCAGTTATCATAACTTAATTTCCCAGAGTTCTTTTTGGCTCTTTAAAAATCGGCTTTATAATGATGTATCTTTTCATTGTGGTTTTCATTTTTTATCTCATTAATTATTTCAAAGAGATGTTTAATGATTTTATTTAGATTGTTCTACTAACTCTTGTTCTTTAGATGCTGAATTTTCTATTAAATTGGATTTGATTTTTGTGTGTTTATTTTCTAAGGTTATTTTTATTGATGTTTGTTTTTTCTATTGGAATTTCTACCCTGAATTAAGCAAATGTCCCTATGGTGTTTGTTTTCCCTTTTCTCTTTCAGGTCTCTACAAGTCTTGTAAGTTCTGGATTAACTTTGTAGTTAATTACTTAGGATTTCCTGATCACATTGGCAGGGTCAGTTTGGATGCCCCAGCTTCATGTGGCATAGACTTGAGATTTTTATTTGTTTTAAGGGACTTTTTCCCTGTCTAAGCCTCGAGATATTTCAAGCTTTCATGTTGATTGTTGACCTGATGAGTAGAGTTTTTTAGAACCCCTTATTGGACTGTAGCACTTTGAGGATCTCAGCTTTATGTCAACATCTCAGTTCCAACTCCCTGCCTTCTCAAGGGAGTGCAAGAGGCACAACGGAAATAGGAACGCAGTGGCTCACTCCTGCACTCCTAGCACTCTGGGATGCCAAGGTGGGAAGATTGCTTGAGCCCAGGAGTTGAAGACCAGCCTGAGCAAGAGCAAGACCCCATCTCTACAAAAAATAGAATAATTAGCCAGGTATGGTGGCATGCATCTGTAGTCCCAGCTACTCAGGAGGTTGAGGCAGGAGGATCTCTTGAGCCCAGGAGCTTGAGGTTTCAGTGAACTATGATGACGCCACTGTACTCTAGCCCAGGCAACAGAAGGAGATTGTCTCAAACAACAACAACAAAAAAGGCTGCCATTACATTAGCTTATTAACCATATTCTACTGCTTTGGCTTTGCCTTGGAGGCATATTCCTGTCATCAGAGAAGGGATCTCGCTTTGTCTCTGTCTCTCTTTCCCTGTCACTCCCTCCCTCTTTCTCAGTCTCTTCCACACCACCTCCCATCCCCATCTATCTCTCCTCTCCCTTTCTACCTTTCTCATGTTTGGCTATGTACTGTGCACTAGAGTATGTTGTTTCGTTTTATTTAAGAGCTTCTTTGTATTAATAAATTGTCCATGTCGGTTTAATCCAATATGTGGCAAGACCACTTATTCTCGACCTCATCATCATTGGTAATACTGGCTGGGTAGGTTTTTTTTTTTTTTTTTTTTTTTTTACTTTTGACTCTCATTAATAATACTGCAGTAAACACCCTTTATATACATGTTGCGCATGTTTTTTTTTTTCATTTCTTCAGTATAAATTTTTAGATGTAGAATTGCTAGGTCAAAGCCTTTGGAAGATAGTGCCAAGTTTACCTTCCCAGTCAGTATTAGTGTATAAGAAGTGTTTACTCCCTCCCCTGTCCAGCAACATTGAGTTGGTTCTTCTTATTCTCATAAAGTTATTCATATCCCACTAGCTTTGGCATATTCGACTAATTGATGGAATTTAGCTTTCTTCTCTCTTAAAATAGTTTTAAAGTTTTCCACTTTGTTTAATGCCTTCAACACTGTGTCTCAATGTTTAGGCTGGTACTAACATGTATATATTGGGGAAGGTAACATTTGAATTCTACTAAAGCTGTGATTTGGGTCATGAAAAGTGTGTGTGTCTAAGTTAAAACCCCTTTAGTTTACTCCCTTTACAAATGGATGTAACCATCTGCCAGAGTGTGTTTTTAATTAAAATTATTCTGGCTAATACTGTGAGCAATTTTTTAAATGAACTTTAGTCATTTAAAATATGTTAATTTTAAAATTCAGAACAGAGTTGGGTATAATTGATGATTATAAGTAATTTATTTCCTTCTCACTTCTAAAGTGTAGTGAGATAAATCTACCAAGATGAT